GGGCAGCGGGGCTGACCCGCTGCCCGAGCCCCTCCGTGGCTTTGCTCTGCGTCTTCCTGGTCTGCAGACCAGGGAGACGCAAAGCAAAGCCCCAGAGTACACGGGCGGCAGGACCGCTAGGTCCCGCAGTCCGTGTACTCTGGGGCAGCCCCGTTCGTAACTGCGGATCCGACGTAAGTCGGATCCGCGCAAGTCGGGGACTGCCTGTACTTGCAACTTTACTATCAAGATATGGGGTAGCATCGCGCTCCCTGTCATAATGGTAGGGTGGCTGGTGCAGGCTCAAGATGCAGTTACAGCCCGTCAGTCAGCACTGCCCTAAGGGCTTCTCCCTCTTGCTAGTGTTGGGAGCTGGACCCTGTCTGTCACCACTTCCAACCGAGCTCTGAGGCCCCATGGTGAGACAGTTGACTCAGCAGAGACATTTGAGAACTCTACTTACTTGGTGGGCTAGGTGTTCCAGCTCTCCCCCTCCCTCAGTCACCTGATAACCTCCTGCTGCCACACTCACTGAGCCCACTTGCCTCCTTTCTGTGTTGCTGCCAGTAACAAAGAACGGAGCTTATGAGGCTGTGGCTGCCCAACCAGCTGCTGGGGAGTACTGCACCCTGCAGTGTGACTCAGCCCCACACCCCCACAGAGCTGGGAAGTGAGCATGGTCTGAGCCTCAGCTGAGTTGCAGCCCATTTGATCTTCGTGGTCCTTTCAAAAATATCTTGTGGTGCTGGCTCCCTACTGAATACCCCTGTCATCAGTATAACTGTTCATACTGGGCATTGTACTGGTGTAACCTTGTTTGTTTAAAAAACAACTCCTCCCTAACAAACAATTATATCACAGAGCTGGGAAGTGAGCATGGTCTGAGCCTCAGCTGAGTTGCAGCCCATTTGATCTTCGTGGTCCTTTCAAAAATATCTTGTGGTGCTGGCTCCCTACTGAATACCCCTGTCATCAGTATAACTGTTCATACTGGGCATTGTACTGGTGTAACCTTGTTTGTTTAAAAAACAACTCCTCCCTAACAAACAATTATATCAGTACAAACATTGTGTAGACCAGGGTCTATCTACTGAGTGTTTGAAATGTAGGGCAAATGACTTTTCAGCAGATTATCCTTGTTGATTACCTATTTTGCACCGTTGGCCTTTTGCAAGTAGAGAAACCCAAACTTTCACCCTTTGCACTTTGAACAGATTATGGATGATATGTTTTGTTTTGTTTTGTTTTTTTGTCTTTTTGCAGTGCATAAAATTTCAGTTTATTTTGTTCTTTCAACATACTTGAGGAAGCTGTCGTTTTTCTGTGTGATCTCTAAAATTTTTATTGTGCAATTCAAACTGCAGATGGATAGTGCAATATAAAACACCACAGGCATTCCTTCTGTATTTAGATGCCATTGCTGAACTGTTAGTATTAGAAGTTGGAGTAGGGAATCAAGACAAATCAGCTGAAGACCAGGGAGCTGTGGCAGCCAGAACTCTCTTCTAGAGGTAACAGATATTCAGTCCTTCCTATTTTTGCTGCTATGGACTGCTCCAGAGTTGGGACAGTATATGGTCACTTCCTTGAACTGCAGATACTAGACTTTTTTATCAGAATTTTGTGGGTATTGGGTATGATTAGAGATGTTAATGTTTGAATACATATGGTTAGCATGAATAGTGCCATGAAGTTCTACACCTAATCTATAATAATGCTTCCTAATAGTGCCAGAACTGTGGTCTCATGTGTTAGTAATAAAATTAAATACTCTGTACTGAAACACTAATTTGTTGAGTGGATGGATGCAAGGAGTTATACCCCTTTCCCAAATCCTTACTGAGTAGGAGATAGTGCTAGAGTAACATGTCACAGACTTAAAATAAAGCTTTAAATATTGTGCTTATATGCTTTGCGAGCTCTTCTGCTTTATCCTTCATTGCTGTACTTGAGATGGGTAGGAACCGGAATTTAATTATCCTGTGGAGTAGGGATGTTAAATTTTGATTGATCAGCTAATGGAGTAGTTGATGGAATTTCCATCAACCATTCAATTAGTTGATAAGGGAGGGGGGAAGATTCACTCTCCTGTTGCACTTCTCCCTTTGAAATGTACAAGAGCCGCAGGACTGGCATGAGCAGAGACTGCTTCAGTCCCCACTCAGGTAGTTTCCCTGCTGTTCCTCTGTCTCCCGTGCCTCCCCCCACCCTGCGGAGATGGTGCTTGCTCCCCCACTTGCCGCCTCTTTCTGAGAGAGGCGGGAGGAAGGGAAGCGACAAGTTGAGTCACTACTCAACTATACAATAAGCATATGCTTATCAGGTAGTGGACTAGTTGCTTACATCCCTACTGTGGAGTAATTGAGAGTTGGGCCTACCAGACAGGGCCAGTGTTAAACTCTGCAGAGTTCATGGAAGAAAGCTGAATCCCCATCACACAGAGCTGAAGCGTGGGACTGAAACTTAGGTCAACACAACTTAGCTTCATGGAGGGCTCTGTAGGATGAGGTCCCAGGCATTTGGACTGCTTGCTACCCTCTATGCTGGTCCTGGCTTTTATATGCAGAAAATTAGTTGTGGTACAGGTGGGCCATAGAGCTTTTATATCATGTTGGGTGAAAGGGAGCTCAGAGAGAGACTGAGAACCCCTTCTCTAGAGGACTGCAAGTAGGGCCTTCTTCACTGAGTGCTCACAACACTAAACTGCTCTTTTCTGAACCTAAGCAATGCCAATAATCTGTGGCATCTCTTAAGGCAAAGCTGGTGCTGTTTTCTTCCTCTTTGAGTTTGTTGAGCACTTAGAGCAGTGAGTTAGAGTGGTTGACTTGCTTAAATTATCCAAACAAGTATGAAGAATTCAACTGGTGATTCTACATTTTGCCCCTTATAAAGCTTGTTTATTTTAGTGAATTGCTCGAACATCTCATCAGAGCATCTTAAAAAAAAATTAACTCTTAGGTTGTGCATTGTTTAGATTAAGTAGACACAGGCTGATACATTCTGCACACAATATTTTAAAATTCTGCACATTTTATTTGTCAGAAGTGGAGACTCCACTATGGCATTGGGGAGCACAGATCAGTGGCTGTACAGAGGAGGGACATGGACTTAGTGGTGAGGCTTGTTGGTCTGCAAGACACTAAAAGTCACAACTGGGAAGCTTCTGAATTGGGGTTCACTGGCTATGAGCAAGCAATTTTAAATCTGATAGTCTTGGAGTTTGGTGGTGAAGTGGACATCCTGGTGTGACAGGGAGTTGATAATCACTGTAATCCAGGGCTACTCAGCTTTGAAAGCTCCGAGGGTGACAGTGATACTCACAACACATGCTGAGGGCCACAACAAGTGTGGTTGCATATACATACAAATAGCTTTTCACACTGACTGGCATGAATACAAAGATTAAGGCAAGACTACACAACACGCAGGCCCCATTTAAATAAGTTCTGTTGATATTAATAAAATGCAATATTTACCCAATTTCCACTCATATGACAGCACTTTTAATAAGCAATGGCAGGCCAGGAATTTAACTACGAAAATGCATATCAAGAGAAGACCACTATATTGACTACTTTTTTTTTGTGTTGGCTCCCACCTGAGGGCCACATGTTGAGCCCCATGTAAACCCAAACTGCACCGCAGGCCACAAACAAATGGGCTGCAGGCTACATGTTGAGTAGCCCTGCTGTAATCTCTAGCAGAGCTCGCTCTTGTTCAGGCATGTAAGTAACACTGTTGTTTACAGTTCTGGGTTCCTAGAAGACAGCATCACTACTAGTTAGCTCAGCTATTGTTAAATGAGGGATATAAATGGTTAAGTCGTTAACTGGAGCAGCTCCACATCCACCCTGGGCAAGGTTACATACACTCTGGCTTTATACTGCAGAGCATGTAACTGCTATGATTTTTAGAGACAACATGGTTGTATTTTTTAAATGACTTCTTACATCACTAAGTCAAAGGTAGATGTAGAAACTGACTAGGGGTGTAAAATCCTGCTTACTTGGTTAACCAATTAAACATTAGGCAGTTAGTTGGTTAACCAATTAAACTAAGCAGGATCCAGGCTGGGGACCACTTCAGCCCAGCTGGAGTGGCCCAGAGGGCTCTTGCCCCTAGCCTCATGGTGGGGCTGTCTGCCAGCTACAAGCCCCTGTGCTGGGGCTGCTTCTGCCAACCTCCAGCCCCCACCGGAGCAGCCCCTGCCTGTAGGGTCCCTACAGACAAACTGCTCCAGCCCTTCCCAGTTAACCAGAATAGGTAAGCATTACCTCTTTAGGGTGATGCTTACCGGTTAACCTTTCACATCACTAGACTGAACTTTCCTCTTGCTCTAGTCGAGAGTAAGTCCCATGAGGCCTGAGTTGAGACAGTGTGGGGTAATCTGGAGCTTCCATTTCCTATTTTTAACTTTTCTGTGGCAACTTTAGTCCCTTGGGTCCAGTGCACAACAAAAATAAAGCCATTGCAGCAAACCTCCAATTTGTACTATAGATAAGACATTAAATTTTGCTTTCTAAAACTTTCTAGCCTTGGACATGAGATACCAACAAAACTCTGAAGATCCAATATGCTGTACAAATTGGAACAGGTTTGTAACCTGTTAGGAGATGGGGTAACAATATAGTTGGGTCCCTTCAGCTAGCTGTATTTTTAGTGTGGACAAGTTGTTTTGTTTCCTTTCTTTGGGTCTGAACATGCTTGATTGTCTGCCTTGGCAGTCTGCTGTGAATTTCTCAGCCTGCAGTGTCCACTGACAGTTTGCTGTAACCAGATTACAAAAGCACCTAGTTGGACACACTGACTCTTTATTAGAGGCTGAGCTCTTTATTTTGTAGATGTGCCTTTTTATCTGGGGATAGAGAAGTGGGAGGAAGAGGCACATATTTTCATTTGTTCCAGATTTTTAAAGGTGACCTCCAGAAAATTTAGCAGTTGGTCTTGTACATTTTTCCTTTTATAATGTATAAAGAAAACTTAAGTTTTTTAAAGCTTTTCTTCTATTTGCTTTACTTTTAAATATTAAAAATAGTCTGGTTTTGCTGGAGGACATCTGGGTGGAAGGCTTTAAGATAGATTAACAGCCTTGCCCTTTTCCTTAAGGTGCAAGAGTTCAGATTTTATCTATAAAAGTCAGTAATTGACGTTAAATGTTAACAACAAAACAGATTTTAGCAGATTTAAATAATTTTCTTAATTGCTCAACTTCTACTCTCTTGTATATCATTATTTCATTAATTCTCCAGCCTAAAGAGGACTGTAATTTCTAATGTAAAATCAGGCAGAATCTTTTTGGTCCTTATCAATTATAAAAAAAACAAAAGTCAGTTTTTGTTTTTCCCTCTTTGGCATGTACTTATTAAAACACAAAGTGAATTCAGTGTTGCTAAAAGGTGTTTGAACTTCCCAAAATGTTCCTACCCACCATCTCTTCCTTCCACAATGCAGCCATTTACAAAGTAGGCCGGGTCTATGCTAGGATTTTTTCTGGCATAGCTGTGTTGATCAGGGATATGGCTTGTGACTAACATACCTATACTAACAAAAGGTTACTGTGTGGATGCAGCTTATACTGGCAGAACTTGTACCTTAGCATGAACAAATAGTGTCTAGCACACTGACCCTGTCAAGATTAAAGTGCTTTTCAACACCTCCTGGTTATCTTAACCCTACATGGAGATTACAACCCAGAGCAAAGGTTACAAAACAGCCTTGAAACATGGAGTTCATAATTTGACTTGGACTTATCACATAAGCTGTGTTGGCATAAGGCACATTTTTAATGCTATATCCCTGTATCCATACTAAGAGTTGTGCCAGTGTAACTGTCTCCGTTGGGAGTATAACTATCCTCTCCTCCCACACCCAGTTCTGCAAGTAACAAAAACTATAATCAAGCCATGGATAAAATGACAGGTGTGACCTTGCAGTAAACTACTTGATATAGCATATGCTGTTTCTGTACCAGCAAAGTGTTAGGCTGTAATAGCAAAAGGGTTGTCAAATGTCTACTGCATTGATAGCTCCAAATGTAATTTAAAAAGGAGCCCATCTAGGCTAGATCTTGGCTAGTAGATAATTTTTTTTATCTATCTATAGTCTGGGAATGCACCGTGATTGTGCATGAAGGGAGCAACACCCTGGGCAAAGGCACAAACACAGAGTAGCCAGCCTCTGCTTGGCAGGATGGCAGGAGTGAGAGGTTTGTTGGGGTCTGGCAAGCAGACACAGACTGTATGGGGGAGAGGGTACTCAAGGCAGCACAAATGTGTGCCTGCATCCCAGTATGAGCCACTTTTTTTGCAGTACAGACTGTACTTGGCAAGCCCACAAATAGGACCAGAGCCACCAGCAGGGGAGGGGATGGTAGGACATCTTCCTTGCTGCTGAAAACTTTTCCCAACTCGGGAAGCATTGGGGGTGAGAACTTGGCAGCAGGGAAGTGTCCAGAACAGCAGCTGTCTGTTTCCTCTGCCTGAGCAGCCCCAAAGCCTTGTCCTGAGCTCTT